CACTGTTCTGATAATTGTAGCTCTACAGTATATTTTGGTATTAGGTTAGATTATTCTGTAAAAGATGATTTCAGTGTAAGCTTCCCCTGGTATTCCAAGACACTGCCTGAGAGTGAAGCCCTGAGGTAAGGCATGGTGTGCAATTTTACACCCAGCTTTAGCCATAACCGTGCCCATCAACAGTTATGGGCATGGGCATGGCTGGGATAAGGCATGGCATCACCCTGTTGACCGGAGAGTGGGGTCCAATTTCTGGCTTTGCCACTAAGGCCTGGGTGACCTGAGGCAGTCTACCTCACCACTGGAGCCTCTGCTTAGAAGAACCTCCCTCCCAGCTCCAGCATTCTTCAGTTCCAAGATTCTAGGGCAAGGAGGCCTCAGGAGTACCAAGCAAGATTGTGAAAGGATAACCAGTGACCACTTCTACAGGAAGTCTCGCAGATGAACACAGGAGATTGGCTCGCTGGGGAACGGGAAGAGTGATTAAGCAAGAGACAAGACTGTTAACAGTTCCAGAGCTCGTAGACTCCTTGGGGCAGCGGTTGCCTCATCACCAGGTCTAGGAGGCACGGGCTGCATGCACTACTGGGAGCCACTGAGAGGTGGGAGCCACCATGGAGTTGCATTGCTTCTTTTCTTTGGGGGGGGATGGGATTGGGGAGCAGCAGTTCCCACCCAGCTCCTATGACAAGGGTGCAAAGGGCTAAACCCTCTTTTCTTATGAATTTGGGGCTCTCTTCATGGGATAATGCAGGGCACTTGGGCGGGAGACTGGGTTGATGACCTACTTTAAATGGTCATGTGACCTCAGGCTAGTCATCTAGCTTCCCAGAGCCTGAGTTTCTCTATTGAGTTAGTGAGGAGAGGTGAGTAGACTAGAACAAGGCACTAGGCGATCTCTCACACCCACCAGCTTGGACAACTTGGGTTCTGTGACTGTTGCTATTACATGTAGTTATTGAAGTAAGTGAGATGAAGAGCATACCTGGTTCCTTGCCCATTTGGTGAGAGAATGATGAAATTGCAGGGGCCCTAAGGCTCCTGCTGATACTGTATTGTAGTTCTGCCTCTGTCCCCTCCCTATCCTTCTTGTACAACTCGACTTCCTGAATGAAAGCCTATGGTGCCTGCTCCTCTAGCAGAGTTGCACAGCAGGTGTGGTTTTTATAGATGCCTGGGAGCAGGATTCAGTTGTTCTCAAGTCTGGCTTCAAGTTTTGTATGATTTTTTGGGCAAAGAATGTGAGGTGAGGCCGTTGAGCTGAGGGGCGTGCGTATGTGTGCCCTGGTCATGAGGAGCCTTCTGACTGGTAAGGGTGTAAGTAGCAATGATCCAGCATAGGGAATGTGCAGAAGAGGGGGCACGGGTGGAGGGGTGCCTCTGCTGGCTGACTCTGAGGTCTGTTGTTCTGAGTGACTCTGAGTGGGCAGAGACCTTCATATATGCCGATGGTGATGAGTGTTGCTGTGTCCGACTGTGAGAGTTGACAGCAAGGGAGTGTCGGGTAATGGCTGACCGAATGGAAGCTGGTTAGGGAGGGAGTGTGTGTGCAGGTACGTGCATCTGCTTGTATACCAGTGTAAGAGTTGACTGAAAGATGTCCCCACTGTCTCTGATGGCCATGCTTGGCCATGAAGGAGGCATAAACTGTTTTCAGGGTGTGCCGTAAGGCTGCGAGGGAGAAGTACACTGTCTCTGACTGATGGCGACAGGTACTTTGCAGCAGTGCTGGCTGTTAGGACACCTGCTGCTTTTCTGCCCCCGAAATCCTGATAGACAAGGAGGGAGCCACTGAGTGGCCCTCCAGGGAAAGAAGGATACACTGGCTCGGAGTGCCGATGCTGAGGCCTGTGATAGAGTGGGGGTTGGGTGCTTCTTTTCTATAAAATGTTAGGGGACTGCTGAAAATGGGCTGCGGAGGTGCTGCTTGACTAGGAACTTCCTGAAAGGGATATTAAGAGAGTCCTATGTCCTAGAATGTGGCCATGGGACATTTATTTAGGATTCTAATTTCCTTGACTTGTGGGAGCCTGATAGGTTCAGCATTGTGGCACCCACATCACAGTAAACTTCCTCCAGGGCTTCAGTTCTAGAAGCTTCCGCAATGAAATCATATCTTGTTGCCTCAAGTGTATTATCTCTATCAATAGAAGTGCATGTGATACTTGAGTTTTCAAGTTTCACATCCCTGAGCAAAGCCTGCCCGCTCTGCCCTGCTCCATGAAGCCCATGTCCTACCCACGGCCGCTCTGTCGGTAATCCACAGAGCAGACTTCTGCCCACCAAGGAGGCAGGAAGTGGTCTTGGGAGAAGTCTATCCCATGACAAACTGGAGGAGTGGATTTAGAGTTGGCTTTTCTACTGATGTCATGGCTTGGGCAGGTCTCTGAGTCTCAGAGCCTCCCTTCCTCAATTTCTTCATCTTTCAAGTGGGGATAAATTGTATCCGTAGCGTACCTGGCTTTTATTAGGCTCAAATAGAATTTCACCCTCATCCATGTAGTCATTACCATTGTCACTACTACCTTTATCCAGCCATCACTGTACTCTGGGCACAGCTCTGAGTGCTTTACGTGGATGATAGATTCAGCAAATATTAGCCAAGTGCCGACTGTATGTGAGGCACTATTCTAGGCACTTGGGATAGGCAGCGAACAAGAGTAAACTCTAGACTCACATGAGGCTTATATTTCAGTAAGAGGAGATGGGAAGTTTGTAGAACAATTGAGTAAAAAACTATTCTGGGAAGATGACAAGTGCTAAGAGAAAGTAGAGCCAGAATGGGAGGTGGAGGTTCAACTTTTATCTTGTCTAATCATCATGGCAACCCTGTGTGATAAACATTAGTCTTATGTTCCAGAGAGGAAACTGAGGTTCAGGGACGTTGAAGGGCTTACCCAAGGTCATTCAGCCAGTGAAGCAGGACCGGGAGAGGCAGAGTCTGTCTGACTCCAGAGCACTGTAACTGGAAGTCACCTCCTCTCTTGGGTGGGACGAACTGCCAGGAGGAAGGGGCGCCTTTTCCTAATTCACCTAAGGAAATCACATGCATTGTGGCATGCCTGCTTTCCACTCCACTGGCATTCAGTTGGTGCTCAGTAAATGCTTCACTTAAGTGCATGCTAGATCTTGGGAAGAGTTTGGGCAGAAGGAAACCATCTCAGAATAGATATGACAGTAACTGTTCTTTGGGAGGAAAAAGCCATGATTTATGTCATGTAACAATTTACATGGAGTAAATACTCCCACAGTGGCTGATTCCAAGCCACTGAGTTAGGAAGAGATGTACACAATTGGCTCTCAAGAGCCCCTCAGTTCTGGCTCCAGCACACCACTGCAGTTTATGTCTACGATCTTCAAACTGCATCTGAAACATCTGAAGGCCCCAAGAGTGAGAAAAAAAGATAGAGAGATGGAAAGGAACAAATGGAGAGAAAGAACAGACTGGAAGTGGGGATGGTGGGGAGGAGGGGGAGAGAGAGGCAGGCAGGCAGACAGACAGACAGACAGACAGACAGACTCTACTTTACTTTAAAGTTTAGGGGCCTCCTCAGGGTGAGCAATTGCTTAATTCAAGTCTAATGCAAACTGTGTAAGGTAATATACCCAAAAGGAGGCTGAGTCAGTGTCTCCAGTCCCCTGGAAAGAGCCCATCATCCCTGAAGCAGAGCTTCCTGACCCCTCCACCCAGCCTGTCTATGACCTTTCGTTCCAACTGAGAAAGTCTTGTTCCTCTTGCCTCAGTTCCTTTGCGCATGCTGTTCACTTCTTCTAGATCTTACCTGCCTCCTTTAGAGCCTGGCTCAAGTCCCACAGTCCACAAGAAGCTGCCTGGTCATGTATACACCAAGCCTCTCCCACTCCATACAGTTTTGCATGCCCTAGATTTATTTCCCCCAACTCTACCTCTTCCAAATTCCAGCCGTCCTGAGGCCTCACTTGGAAAAATCTTTATCCATCAAAATCCTTATTAATTGACTGAGTGACCTAAGACCTTCAACAACAGATGAAAGGACGCAATTAATGAATTGTACAACCCTTACTTAAGCACTTACTCTGTGTTAAGGAGCTGGGAGCAATGTAGACAAGGGTGCACAGTGACATCTATAGGGAGAGCCCGGGGCATCATGGGGCCACAGACAAGGGGATACTGAATCCTACCTGAAGTGTGGAGGTGGCTGAAGGGAAGGCTTCTTGGGGACGTGGCCTCTAAGCTAAGGGAGGAAGAGGTATCAGCTAGGTGAGGGGATACGAAAATCGGGAAGGTTGGGGCAAAGGGAGCAAGGGTAGGAGGGAATCTGGCATTCTGGGAATGGCAGGTGCTTCAGAAGGGTTGATGTGGGCTGTGAGGATGTGGGGATGATGGCGTGAAGGAGGAGCACGTCGTGCAAGAACATAAGGGCCATGTGGGGGGCGCTACTGATTCCTTGGTGCATTGGCCTAAGGAGTAGAGAAATGGCGTTGAGGACACAAAAAGGCTGGAGGTGAGGTGAAACTGAGAGAGGGAGGAGGCAATTGTGGAGGGATTCCTTCCCAGAAGGCGCGATGTGAGGAAATGAGCGAGAGGAGCCGCAGGAGAGACGGCTCCTCAAGCTGCTTCTGGTCTCTTGGACAGTGAGATTCTGGATGACCCTGTGTAACCACTCACAAGTCAAAAACTAGAACCTGTCCTGCACGGGGGCTCTTTTACTTAACAGCCAGAGAAGACTTTGGACAATTGAGTAGAGATCTGAAGAAGATAAAGATATATCTTGGAGATATATCCAGGCAGAGGGAACAGAAACGGCAAAGGTCCTGAGCGGGATGTGCTGGAGGCCATGAGGTGGGCATGGGCCATGATGTCACAGAGGCCAGTGAGGATCCAACCAGGCAGGGCTTCATCACCCATGGTGGATTTTCTCCAGGAGTAATGAGGAGCCATGGGAGGGTTTTCAGCAGGCAGTGACTGTGTGTAGCAGCCTAGTGCCTGTCACCATTCTTTGTCCTCAGGCCAAAGCAGCATGGAGACTGGACAGAGAGTGACCCGAAAAGGCCGGAAACTGGGCTCCAGCTGCCGGCGGCAGACACGAGAGCCCGCTGATGGCCAGGATGCCCCTGTGGCTCCAGAGCTAGAGTCCTGGTCCTCCCAGGCAGCTGCAGAACTGCAGGGCTTCTTCCAGGACTGTGGTGCCAAGGAGAGGGGCTTTGTCACCCGTGAAGACCTGGCGGTGAGCTAAGACCCCATCCCGCTCCCTGAATCCCTTTTTTGCAGCCTCCTGAGACTTCCTGTCCCCGGAAAGGCAGGGCTTGCCTTTTCTTTCTCCTTTCTCTCATCTAAACTTTGATCTCAGAAATGGCTAGAAGCTTGTTTACACCAACGTGTAAAAGACTAATACGGCTTTATGTGTTCCCCTCTTCCAGAGACATTTACATTTTAACAAAGGAAAAGACTTTAAACCAAAGGAATAACTTGCAAATGATATAATTTTAGGCCCATTGAGTGGGGAGCAGTCAGAATCCTGGAAATCAAACCATGTCGATGACTATAAACTTGAATGAAACAAGATCGGCCATGGTTGTATGTGTCAATAAGGAGTCTTAGGCCGTGGCCTAGGCCAGATTGACTGATTTTTCTTTGGTTTATCCTCATTCTCTGTAAAGGGGCCTATATGGGTTTCTAGAGTCTCACTGGGCCTGCTGTCTCCTCCTGGTATTGCTCCAAGCTCCAGACTGCCCTTCCCCCATCAAAACTGACCTTTCCTATGTTCCAGCCTCAGGGCCACAAAAAGGTTTGAGTGGCTGATGTTAAATATAGTTTTTAAAAGGGTTAAAAAAAATAGAGAGAGAGACTTTCAAGTAAACATAAAATCAACACTTATCAAAGGTCTTACCTAATTAATTATTGTTATTAATTAATGAGGGAACCAGTAAGATGTTATGACAAGTTCAAAGAGCATTTGAGAAGTTAGGGTATTTATAGGCAATTTGACAGAAGAGTATTAGGATAAGATTGCTGAGTTCGATTTTTAAAATGGCTAATGTCCAACAGGCCATGGATCCTTGGGGTTATCTGTTCTGCTAGACAAAATTATTTTTGTCTCTCCTGGACAAAAATCTACAAGTTAACAAGTAACTTCAGTAAGTCTGGGATCTTTAATTAAAGGTAAACAGTGAGATGAACTAAATGCATTCCTCTAGTCTATATCATGCTTGAAAGGGCATGCTGTCTAACTTTTTGCCTTATTTTCAAGCTTCACATAATTTTTTTGTGATCATAAATAATCTCTAGAGTTTAGTTAGTCCTGATATGAAAAAGGATGGTCTTCCTCGTGGATACAGAGAACTGACTGGTGATTGCCAGATCGGAGGGAGGTTGGTGGGCTGGGTGAAAAAGGTGAAGGGATTAAGAAGTACAAACTGGCAGTTACAGAATAGTCACGGGGATACGAAGTACAGCACAGGGAATATAGTCAATAATATTGTAATAATTAGGTATAGTGCCAGGTGGATACTAGACTAATCAGGGGGATCACTTTGTAAATTATTTAAATGTCTAATCACTATGCTGGGCACCTGAAACTAATATAAAATAATATTGAATGTCAACTCTAATTAAAAAATAAAAATAAAAGAAAAAAACAAGAAAAAGGCCGGTCTTCTTAGGTCTGGCTTGATTATTCTTATAGGTGTAGCAAGGGTGTAGATGAAATATGTGGTTCTCGTTAAGTCTGCTCTGCAAATCTAGGCTTTTGAAGTGTTGAGCCATTTTGGCGCTGTCCAGAAGTTTTCACATGGAATCCTAGGTCGGACCTTTAAAATTTCTATTATTTGCTCTTTTATCTAGAGTGACCATCTGTCTCAGTTTGCCTGGGACTGGAGGGGTACCTGGGATGTAGCTCTTTAGTGCTAAAACTGGGCAAGTTTTGAGCCAACTTGGACAAGTTGGCCATCCTACTTTTATCCTAAGGTGAGGAAACTAACAAGACTCTCTCTACCAGCTTTCACCAGCAACCCCTATAAATATGAGGAACTTTCTCTCTTCTTGAAGGTCCCAATTTTTCTAAGATCCTTCTCCCACCCAGAAGTGGCCTTCTCTATCACCTGATTCCTAGGAGGGCTTTGTAGGCATTGGCTCCATGGGTGTTCCTTACAGTGGACTTGTCACACCTGATTAAATGAGAATCATTCTTAGATGTGACACTACAGTTAGACAATAGATTTATCTAACTAGATCCCAGCAAAAGGAAGACAGATTCTTATTGAACTTATATAAATAACTATATTGCCATGGAAAGTAAGGAGATTCAGTAAAAGTATTGGTTTCTGAATCAGGAGGGGCTCAGTGAGATTCGGATATCATTTAACATGTTTCATTTCAGTTTACAAAAGCAATAATCTACTAAACTGAAGGTTAGAGACAGCTCAAGAAGACAGAGAAGATTTTCTCATAAATCTATAAAAACAGAACAATAAAAATAATAGCAACTATATTATCAACAAATAACCACACTATATTTCTTTGACCCATTCATTCAGTTCCATGGAAGTAATTTTTATTCTGCTGGATCTTGGGTGAGTTAGCTGCTTCTAGACTCAAAAGAGTCCTAGAAATGGTCAGCCCACTAGCTCAGCCTGAAGGTTAGCTAATTTCAGCTCGGCATCATGTACCCAAGTGCAGCATCAGTAGTTCATAGAACCTGGTGTAGTCCTTCCCTCCAAGGCTTTGAGTCTGTCCTTTGTAGAAAACACAAACTGTGGCCTGCAGCTTTTAACGGAGCCTTCAGGTAAAGTTGGAAAGCAGAAACTTATTAGTATTGAGACTGAAAGGCTATGGTTATTTATTACAATAACAATATCAGAGTGGAAGAAAGTAAAGCTCTCTCTTGGGATACAGTACATAACTATTTCATAAGGGTTTGATAAGTGTTTCCCCTGAAGATAAGAACATATTATGGATAGCAAGGACACTGAGAAATCTCCAGGGCCTTCCCATAAAGCATGCAACTTCTGAAATGGTTATGTTAATGCATTTTACTACGTAAACTTAGCGTAGGAAAGGCTGACTATCTCTTCTGATTTGACAGTTCTTCCCATGATGCTCTTCTTTTTTACACTCAAGCCATATTTAATATCAGAGTTTGTTACAGGCTAAAGCCTCAGTTTTTATTTTCTTCTCCATGTAACACTTTTTTACGATATTTTTCTTTCTTGATAATGATCAGCTTATTATCTTTTAGGAGCACTTGTTAAGCATAACTGTATTAATTAATCTTAATAAACTTTTAAAATTCCTTATAAGTTATCTATATTGTCCAAAAGAATATTGGAAATATTTCAGTATCAAGGGTTTGAAGTAAAAATTTCTTTATAATTTCTGAAAATGATTTTTTTCATGTTTTTTAAATTGAGGATTAATTGACATAATATTATATTATTTTCAGGTGTACGACATAATGATTTGATACTTGGATATGTTGCAAAATAATTACCACAATAAGTCCAGTTAGGATACATCACCATACATAGTTACGAAATTATTTTCTTGTTATGAGAACTTTCAGAATCCACTCTCCTAGCTACTTTCAAATATGCAATACACTGCAGTGGTCCCCAAACTTTTTGGCACCAGGGACCAGTGCTCCTCTGAGAATCTAATGCCTGATGATCTGAGGTGGAGCTGAGGTGGTGAGGCTAGTGCTGAGGAGCAGCTGCAAATACAGACAAAGCTTCGCTTGCTCGCTATTTTCAACCTATTGTTTTAAATATGCAGCATAGTATTATTAAATATAGTCACCATGCTATATATTACATAACCATGACTTATTCATTTTATAACTGGAAATTTGTTCCTTTTAACCCCCTTCATCCATTTAACCTACTCCCCGCCTTCCACCTCAAGCAATCACCAATCTGTTCTCTATATCCATGAGCTCAGGGCTTTTAAATCGTTGCTTTTAGATTCCACATATAAGTGAGATCATAAAGTATTTAGTTTTTTCCGTCTAACTTATTTCACTTAGCATAATGTACTTAAGGTCCATCCACGTTGTCATAAATGGCAGGATTTTCTTCTTTTTCTTCTTCTTTTTTATGGCTGAATAATATTCCATTATATATATGTACTGCATTTTCTTTATCCATTCATCCATTGATGGACATTTAGGTTGTTTCTATGCCTTGGCTATCATAAATAATGCTGCAATTAACATGTGTGTGCATATATCTTTTTGAATTAGTATTTTTGTTTTCTTCAGATAAATACACAGAAGTGTAATTGCTGAATCATATGGTAGTTCTATTTTTAATTTTTTGAGGAACTTCTATACCAGGGGTCCCTAACCCCTGGGCTGTGGACCAGTACCGGCCTGCACAGCAGGCGGTGAGCAGCGGGCAAGCGAGCGAAGCTTCATCTGGGTTTGCAGCTGCTCACCAGTGCTGGCATCACCGCCTTAGCTCCACCTCAGATCATCAGGCACTGAATTCTCATAGGACCACTGGTCCCTGGCGCCAAAAAAGTTGGGGACTGCTGCTCTATACTGTTTTCCATAGTGGATGCACCAGTTTTCATTCCCATCAGCAGTGTACGAGGGTTCTCTTTTCTCAACATCTTTGTCAACACTTGTTATTTCTTGGCCACGATGCTCTTATAATAGTGATGAAGTATTTAATAAATATAGAGAAAGATATCCTGATTTTTTCCCCCTAAATTTAGAATCTGACATTGGGAAGGCAAAATCAAAAGAGCTGTCAGAGAAATTTGGCCTCTAGATTTAGATGGGATCATGGGAACCTGAGAAATAGTACTTGTTTAATCAAAGTGACAATAAAATAAAATATTTTGAAATAAACTTAGAAGAAGGTAATATGGTTGCAAGGATATTTATATCTTTCATAAGAGAGATATCTTAGATATTTTTTAAAAATTAGAACATGATTAAGCCAAAGCATAGCAGAGAAAATTATTCTGTGAAGATACGGAATCAGTTATCTTGGCAATTTACACAGAAGAGAAATAGTAACTTCTTTTTAACTCTTGCTAAGAGCTCTAAAACCTATTTATCTTTTAATAGAGATGGAGCCCAATTCTAGTTTTGCATTAATATAACATGTACCTGTAAAAATTTCATAAGTTTTGTTTTTAATTTATTTTTAAACCCATCAAAACAGAGGCAAATTTGGCAAAACGTTAACATATTTCATAGCTTATTTTCAGACTCAGGTATTCTAAATCAAGGGAAATAAGATTTCCTTTCAGCAAACCCTCTACATTTATTTATATTCGTTCAGGTTTTGTCTTTTTACATATTTTCACGTTCTGGAACAACCAGACACTTTAAGATAAAACCATTTCTTTTATTGCTCAGAAAGCAAAAACGTTTCCCATTTCCTTGCCGATACAGTGTATTTCTCTGTCACTATTGTTCCTCGTAAAACCTCAAACACCTGTATGATTATAACTTTTAACCAAAATAATTAACCTTTATTTTCACAAAATGAACTGGGGAGTAAATAATTGAGAACTGTCTAATGTAAGCATTTTACTAGACCAGCAAAGCTCACAAGTTCACATGACTGACTACGGTCATACATATCCCTTGTACAACTTTTTAAAAAATTGCGATAAAATATACCTAACATAAAATTGACCATTTTAATCATTTTTATGTGTAGAGTTCAGTGATATTAAGTAATGCACATTGTTGTGCAACCATCACCACCATCCATCTCCAGAACGTCTTTATCTTCCCCACCTGGAACTCTGTACTCATTAAACACTAACGGCATTCTCCTGTTTCCCCAGTCCCTGGAAAACCCAATTCTACTTTCTGTCTCCATGATCTGACTACTCTAGGTCCCCCATACAAGTGGAATTATATAGTATTTGTCTTTTTGTGACTGGCTTATTTCATTTAGCATAATGTCCTCAAGGTTCATCCATAATGTAGCATATTGCAGAATCTCCTTCCTTTTTAAGGTGAATCATATTCCATTGTATATCTATACCACATTTCATCTATCCTTTTATCCTTTGATAAACTTTTGAGTTGCTTCCATTTTTGAGCTATCGTGAATATTGTTGCTGTGAATATGGGTATACAAATATCTACTTGAGTCCCTACTTTCTCTTACACAACTATTTAAGGTGCCCAAAATGAATTCACTTATTAATATGACCCAAAGAGATAGCTGCTCTCCAGCAAGTAAAAGTACTACACTTGATCTTAGCCCAAAGGTCAAGAAGCGATGCAAGTAAAAGTAAAAAGTAAAAAAGATATAAACTTAAAATTATGCTTAGTAGTTAAGTTTTCAGTATTCAAATTTTCTTAATTTAATATTCAGGTTTTTCAAGTTACTAAGGATCTTGGAAATTGTGTTTAAGGTGGCACGCTACAAAATATAAGTACTGTTGCTATAAAATTTGTTGGAATAATGAATCAATTTAGTTGAACACAAATTTACAATTTTCATAATCTTAAACATTACGTACAAATAGTGTTGGTTTAGACAAAATAAGCATAGGAAATTCAGATTAACTAGTTTCTTCACAAAAAAACAAATCCAGATCTTATAAAAATAAAATGTATACTTGCATAATTATACTTAATATAAAGCAGAGAAAATACTCTCCAGCAACTTTACTTAGTTTTGACAGCTGAGTCCACTTGGACATCTCCATGGAATCTCCAAAACCTTTAATTTCCAAGAAGGCAAATCATGACCGTTAGGCAAAAATAAAATAAATCCATATTGAAGATTTTATTTCTCATTAATTAATGATAGATGTTATGAATGGTTGAAAGAGCATGTAAAGATGTAGGTAATTTAACAAAGAAATTTTTTAGAGTCAGATTGCTGAGTTAGAATTTTAAAAGCGGATTATAAACAGGCCCTAAATCTTTGGGGTTATCTGTTCCATCAGACAAAAATTATTTATAGCTCTCCTGGACAAAATCTGCAAGTTAAACTATGACTTCATGTAGTCTGGGACCTTACATCAGTCTCATGAGATGAATGATATACATTCCTATAGTCCAGAAGAAGACGCTTGCGTGGCTTTTGCCCATGTAGAATACTAAAAGGACATGCTGTCCACCTTTTGGACTTATTTTTAAGTTTCAGATAATTTTTGAACACTGATAAACACAATCTGGGGAGGATTAGCTACTGTCCTTTATTAGGGTCCTAAAGGGATGAGACTCAGAACAGATAAGTGTTGGTGTTGGATGGAGGAAGGGACAAGGTGTGGAGGAAGTTCAAGGCTCTGCTGAGAAAGCTGTCCTAGATGGGGTCTGTGAGTCTCAAGGGTAGGCCCTGGGTCAGGTTGGGCGTGGGACTCCAAAATTGGAGCGAGAGGAGGTGGGGGTGGCTGAAGACAAACACCTCCCATTTTTTGAGGGTGGCCCAGAGCCTTCCCCAGTGGCAATAGCACCCAACTTATCCTTTCCTTGCAGGCGGCCACATTCAGCTTCCTGGGCAGTGAGGAGGAGCCGGAGATGATATTTGACTGGGTGGATGTGGAGCAGAAGGGACGCCTCTCCCTTGAAGAATTCAGCTCTGGGCTCAGTATGTCTGTCCTGTGAGGGCTTCTGGGGACTTGCAGCACAGCCAGGTGTCCTATGCAGTGTGCCCAGCATGGGGCGAGGCTGGGCTGACAGGAAAGGCAACAGTGACACCTTACCAACCAGACGACCTTCACAACATTCCTGAGAGAGTTCAGGGCATGGACGATAATCCTGATTGCTGTGGAGATGTGGACACTAAGCCTGGGTGGGAAGGCAGTTGATTTGAGGCAGAGCTGGGCCTTAAAGATCTGATTGTTAGCCCAGGAGATCTGATTGCTTCCTTTCCAACCAGCCAGAACAGTTGATTAGCCGTGGGCTCCCCTGAGCATCCTCCTCCTCCAGAGAGACCCAGTCTTGCTTTCTGATGCATTCCTTGTCTTCTCCCCAACAAAAAGCTTCCCTTGAGCAACAGGTTAAGTGCCCCCCATTCTTGAGAGACCACAGGCTTTGTTTCTGTCTGCAGAAGTTTTCACATTCTGGCTTTGGTTAAGAGAATTCCAGGCTCCAGGGAGCAGCAAACGGTGAAGTTTAGTGGGTGGGGACCTCCCAGGTCCTTAGTCCCCACTGGGCTGAGCTACTCTAATACTGCTCCTTGAGACAGGCTAAAAAGACCTAAAAAGACTAAGGCCTGCAGGAAACAATATTCCCGCTGATCTTCTCGATGAGAGAAGGCCTTCTGGCCCAGGGAGTGGAAGGTGTGGTGTCCTTGCAGAGACCCTGCAAAGCACAGTTCAGCCTTAGATGTCTGCAAAGCCATCCAGAATTCTCAGGTCTGTTGAGTCTCCAAAGGTTTGGGGGACAACAGAGAGGGAGGCCATAAATCTGCATTTATTGGTTGGGGCCATCCCAGGTGGTGTGTTTTGGTTCTGGTGATTGAGAAGCTGGGAGTGGGATTTGGATCCTGAAATGTGGAGGTTCAGAGGGAACACTGCTGTCTGTGCAACTCCAAGGGCCATCTTCATATCTGTATCCGATCTTGTGCACAACACCAGGGACTTCCCAATGCCTGTGGAACAAAATCTAAACCCCTGGGGCTTAGATTTCCTGGGGCCCACAGGGCATCGTCCAGACTCTGCCAATCTCTTGGTTTCACTCAATGCCACTCTTTGTCTCCAAAGTACCAATATGGCTCCTAGCTCAAGGCCTTTGCATGTGCTCTTCTCTCTGCCTGGAATGTACCTCCCTAGGAATCTTCATGCTTGCTTTCTTGTTATCCACCTCTCAGTTCCAACGAGACTTCCTCAGGATCCTCCTGACCACTCCTTCTGAAGTAGACCCTATCCAGTCTCTCAATGGAAATTATCTTTTTTATTCCTTTGGCTCACTTAGAACATTTACTTTTTAAAAATGTATCCTTTTCACACTCGCTAGAATGTCAGCTCCACTAGAGCAGAGATTCGGGCCAATTTTGTCCCCAGCACAAAGTAGATGCTCGATAAATATCTCTTGACTTAGTGAATAAAGAATGTGTTGGCCACCATGGAGTTGCTGTGTGACTTCCAGCAAGTCTTTTGGCCTCTCTGGACCTCTGATGTTCATCTGTAAAGTGGGCCTAGTGTCACAGTGTCTACCTTGAGTAGACTCCCAATGTTGACATGAGGAATGTATAAACATGGCCCTGTACAAATGTGACCAACACAGATAAAATTATTTCCCCCAGGGCTGGAGCAGGGCAAGGTGGGAGGTCAAGGGCTGAGCCCAACTCCACTCTGTTCCTTTCCGTCCCCCTCTGTCCCACAGAGAACATCTTTGGTTCCCGCTCAAGCACCCACAGGCTCCGCAAAAGGAGGCCACTGTCCTCCAAGCAAGGATCTGCAGCCACCAGGTTCCCAGTGCTGGAGGAGGCCGACACTGAGGAGAAGGAGGCATTCTTTGCCTTCATGGAGCAGCTGGGGACTGGCCACTTACTTCCCGAGTAAGGCCAGCACAGTGTATGTGGGAAGGGGAGGGACAGGACAGGCACTGCCAGTCAGTGCAGGCGAGGGCTCACCTGGACACAGGGCCAAAGTGGGAGGCCGCGTATAAATTCCGGGTTGGCCACTTGTCAGCTGTGTGACCATGGGCAAGTGACCTAACCTTTGACCTCTGTTTCTCTGGCTGCAGAGTGAACATAAAAGCTGTTGTGGGATTAAATGGAGGCACTGCTCACATGAAGTCCATCCTACCCCCAGCCCCTCCCTCCTTATCCTGCCCTGTATTATCAGTCTTCAGAGGGATTAGCAAGCTGGGGCATCAGCTTCCCAAGGGTACTCACGTTCTTAAAAACATGAGGTGCCCTGAGGGTGGGTGCCTTTTTTAACTCAAAAAGAGGGTCCCCACTAGGGTAACATCAGGCATGGTGATGCCCTGGATTGGACAGCTTTGGAGATAGGGGGGCATTTCCTCCGAACTATCTCAGATTCTAGGCTCACGGTATTTACTCATGCTCAGAGAAGGAGGGTCCTGCCTAAAAATGCCCCTCTCCCACCCTTCAGGTCCCACTGGGTCTGTCAGAGCCAGCAAGGGGCTCACCCAGGAGACAAACCCTCAGAGGGTGGGGCCCATTGTTGTGGGACAGACAGGGTGAGACTTAGGGTACAGGCTGGCGGGGCGGGTGTGGTGGGGAGCTGTTAACTGACTTGGAAGCTTGGCCAGGGCTCAGCTTTCTGTCTTCACAACTTAATTAAGTCCATGTGAAAGCAGCATTTATCCAGTGCAAACCACGTGCCAGGCTCCAAGCAGGTACTTTCACTGGGTATGTCTCATTCTTTAGCAAACTTGCTGGGCAGATATCAGCCTCCTCTTTTTATAAATAAGCCCAGAGAGGGCATGGGACTTGCCCAAAGTCACACAGCTACAGAGTAGGAGAAGAGAGAAAGGAGATAGAAGCCCTGGGCCATCAGACTCCCAAGTCCCCCTCCCCACAATTAATCGCCAAACCATGGAGAAAAAACGTGTTGTGGGGGTTCAAAAAGGGGGAGGATACATCTGGGAAAGGTTCCTGGAGGAGGTGGCGTTTGATGGCACCTGTAGTGTGTAAATAGATTGTTCAGCCCTCGTGCCCAAGTCTCTCAGAGTGTTGTCATTAACACGGACGGCTGGGGCTTCCCCTGCTTCTGATCCCCCTCATACCTTATCTCTGGCCCTCCTCCCCTCCCCAGGCAGGCAGACATCTGGCAGCTGTGGGGACAGCTGCGGCAGGAAGAACCCCAGCTGGCAGACAACTTGGAGGGTTTCCTGGCCAAGATGACCAGCCGTCTGCAGGAGGCACGGGCCGACAAGGAGGTTCTGGAGCTGACCCTGAGGAAGTGAGTGGGAGTCAGGGGTTCTCCCTCACTCAGTGTCTGGCATGCAGTGGGTGCTCTTTACATTTTAGCTGAATCTTCATTGAATTCCCTCAGCTCCAGAATAACGGAGGCGAGGGGTCCACAGCAGCACCTGGGAGCTGCATGGGGCAGAGCTGAGCTGGAAGAGGGCATGACTTAGGGGACCTGTGGGGAGGACGGAGTTGGGCTTTAGGTATACCGAATGTGTCTTGGTGCAGGACCACTGTGGGACTCAACTCCAGAGTACCACTCACGTAGATGACAATGCTTGTGGTGACCTTGGAGTTGGCATGGGCATAGCCTGGCACGGAGGTCTGAGTTATGGAGGTAGGGGGATGGTGACAGCAGGAGATGGGAACAGAGCGATGGGGCGATATGACAGGGCCAAGGGAACTAATATCTTGGTGGTGGATCCAGGAGTTAGCATAATAGGATCGGGGTGACCAATGTCAACAGCATATGGGTTGGGGGCCTGTTATGGGGATGACTGTTCTCAGGGCGACAGGGGTCAGAGACCACTGACAGAGTGAGATGAGCAATAGGATGGACTCCAAACCCAGGTCCAGACCACCTCCATCAGCAGCAGAGTCCCAGAATGCTGATGGGCAGCCTGGCTCACCTCCTATCTCTTCCAGGCGGGACTCTGACCACCATCGCGAGGTCCAGCAGCTGTATGAGGAGATGGAGCAGCAGATCCATCGGGAGAAGCAGCAGCTGCAGGCCCAGGTGGGCTCCCCGCAAGCAGCCTGCTCCTTCCCCCTGCCCTGGATACCTCTGCTGGCCAAGCAATGGGGCCAGTGACTGGCCAGTGTGGGGCAGCAAGAGGTTGGTGGGAGTGGGTCCTCTCATATCCCTAACCAGAGAGATGTCGTAAGGAGTGTTGAGCCTGAGCCCTTACCCCTCTCTGCCAGGTCTTGCTATGTCCCTGGGAGTCAGTCCTTCTACTCTTTGGGCCTTAGTTTCCTTGTTGCCACAATCTAGGCCTGAGCCAGGGAAATTGTCCTGAGACCCCTCCTCGCTGGGACATCCTGGACCCTGTACCCCGGGTCTGGGTAGAGGTCAAGTATGGGAAAGGCCGGCCCAGCCCAGTTGTCTTAGATTCTGCAGTATAGGAGCTGAGAATTCTCTGCTTTCCAGAGTGACTCCCGGGACCTGGCCCTCAGCGCTCAGATGCAGGAGGCCCTGGAAGCCAAGGAGCATGAGATGAAACAGCTGACCGAGGGCCAAAGGGAGGTGAGTGACAGGGCCTCCCCGGGAACTCAATTTCTGAGGATTCACGGACTCTGACACCCCTCTCTTGAGGGTTTACTGGGCTGGTTGGGCTCCCATTTGAGAGTAGCCCTCTAGGAAAGAGATATCTTGGACCCTTTTCTGAACTGAGGCCAGGTAGTCCAGTGGGAGCACTGGAACACGAGTCAGAAGATCTAGGTTCAAATCCCTGGGGTTCCGATGAAGAGCCACTCTGCAAAGGCTGAGGAAATAATGTTGCTTGTCTTGGCCTTAGTTTCTCCATCTGTAAAATAGGAACAGCCACGTCTACTGCATCTCCCAGGCTAGTTGTGTCAAATAAGGTAATCGGTGGGAAAGCACTGTGAAATAGGAAAGCACTGGGCGGACATGAGGTGTCAGCGCCAGAGAGGCTTGGTGATAGGGTGGTCTTCAGCTCTCATGTCCATTGTCAGCTGAGTGACCTTGAACAAGTTTTTAACCTCTCTGAGCCTTGATTTCCTCATCAGAGAAATGGAGTTTAGAACTCCTGCCTTAGAAGGCTGCCGTGATGGTTAGTGATACTATATTGGAGGGCCTAAGATGGTGCCTGGCATGTAGTAGGTGTTTTATATACCACAGTTGTTACTGTCTTGGAATCTGACCTGGCTTCCTGGACAGAATACTTGCTGGTCACTTCCAGTTGGCATTGTGGCTAAGTCTTTGGGTTTGAGACCCTGCTGAGAGTTGGCATGGGTGTAGCCCATAGTGGATACCAGAATCCTTCTGACACTGGGCAAGGTTCCCAGAGACTTCCCCACTGTTGCCTTGGCTGGCCCTGTCACCTGGTCTTGCCCTCCTGACACAGGTTGATGTCTCAGGTGCCTCTGGAAATTAAGGCAGGCCCCTTCTGCCAAGGGAAGAGGCTGGACTTTCCACTCGGGGCCATATTGTCCTGTTCCCTGTGGACATGAAGCCTCTTCCCCCAGGCCCTTCATTCCTTAACCCAACAACTATTTAAGGTGCACCTACTATGTACCAGGCACAGTTCTAGGTTCTGAGGAACATGATAGACACAAATTTCTGCCCATGGGGTTATTGTCTAGTCGGGGAGATGGATGATAAACAAAATAAGCAAGTGAAATCTAGAACATATTAGATAAGGAAAATGCTAAAGAGAATAAAGTAAAGCAGAATCGAAGGATAGAAGATTTTGAGAGGGGAGTCAAGGAAGACCTCACTGAGGTGATGACATTGGAGTAAAGACCTGAAGGAGGTGAGGAGTGAACCATGTGATATTTGGGGGAAGAGTATCAGGCAGAGGTAACAGTGAGTGCGAATGTCCTGAGGTGGGCACGAGCTATGAATGTTCAAGGAACAGCAAGGAGACCTGTAGGCTGGAACAGAGGGAGGGGAGAGTGGTATCGGGAGAGGAGATCAGAGATGTAACAGGGTTGGAGTTAAGAAATCTGTTCAAGGCCCTGGAGACCATTATCGAGGCTTTGCATCCCACTCCGTGTGGTCAAGCAGCTCTTCATCTCCAAGTCGTGTGACTTGCTGTTGGCACAGGCGCTTCCTGCAGGCTAGATGGGGCTCAGAGGAGAGTAGCCATTACAGAGCTTTGAGCAGAGGAGGGTGTGGTTCCATTTAAGTTTCAGGCCCTAGTGGTGCTGGCTGTTTGTGTTTCTTACACAGTTCCCTCTCTCTTCCCTACCCCAGCAATTCATGTCTCTCCTGGGTGGGAGGTCATGGAGCTAATTAGGCCAATGAGGGGTAACCCCTCCCCCAAGTCCTATGTTTTAAGCTGGGCCTCCAGGAGTTCGGAGTCTGTGCCCCGCAATGGCCTTGGGAGGCTGTTTGTTGCCTGGAGGGCAACTGGGCTTCTCTCTTCACTTTCTACAACCTGCAGCTGGAGGCCCGGCTCCACCAACTCAGCAGCACAAACCAGGAGGCCAACTCAGAGAACCAGCAGCTTCGGGAGGCTGAGCGCGACCTGGCTGGGAGGCTGGATGAGGTGCGGGAGCAGCTGCAGGTGACCAAGGGGCACCTGAATGTCGCTAAGGGCCGAGTGTCCTGGCAGATGGAAGAGGAACCGAGGCAAGTGGCTGCCATCCCTGGGCTGGGGATGGCATCCCAGGGACTTCCTGAAAGAGGGGAGGGAGGCTCTGAGTTCTCTGAGGCTCTGGGCACCACCCAGAACACATAGTTCTCCTCCCTAAATCTCAACAACATTGCCAAACTGAGATTATCATGTTCATTTCTTAGACAAGGAAACTGAGGCACAGAGAGGAGAAAGTCACATCCCCAAGATCACACAAGTGGGATTCAAAGACACACACACACACGCACGCACACACGCGCGCGCGCACACATACACGAGGTCTAGTGCAGTGCTGGATCCCAGGCAGGCGCTCACTCTATTTGTTACAGTTCAGAGGAATGGGATGGGCCAAAATGGTCAGAAAAGGCTTCCTGGAGGAGGTGAGGCTTCATACAGGCCTTGAAGGATGAATAGATTGGAGGAGGGGGAGGAGTGGAGCACACATGCCGGGTGAGAAGGACTATCTGAGCAAAGACTGGGAGGGAGGGCCAGCCGTGAGTCGTACAACTGTTGGTGAGGGATGTAGGCAGGATTGGTGTGACATCTACCTGCCCCTCCCCTGACCTTAGCTTCTCACACCCTTTTTAGTGTTCCCAGAGCAGATGAGAAGAAGGCTCCCGACCCTCAGGCAGTCTCCTCTGAGGAGGCTCCCCTGCCCGGACTGTTTGGGGACAACGATGACTGGGACCAGCTTTTAAGCAGCTTCAACAGCCCCGCACACAAAGCCTTGCAGCTCTCCTGGAGTCCACCCCCAAGCCCTTCAGGCCCCCAGACACCCCGCGTAGTCAGGCAGATTTCTATCTCAGAGTCACATAATTTGCTCTTTGGTCAGAAGCCATCTTCAGATCCAGATGGGGCTCCAAAGAGTCCACCTTCAGTGCCTTCCAGGGCCAAAGAAGGGGAAAGCGTGGACCCAGATGGGCAGGACATCAATCCAGAACAGCCTGTCCATCCTCACAGCTTGGAACCTAAGGAGGAGTCAGGGCCTGGATCTGAGACACGTTTCCACTGGGATCTCCACGGGGCCCCAGCTGGGGAGTCAGGGAGCCTGGTAGCAGCTGCACTCAAAGTGCTCGTTCCTTTGGAGGATGGATCCGCTTCCCAAGTGACCTCTCCCCCTGCCCAGGACGCAGCAGGGCCCAGTAAACAGTTTCATGACTCAGATGATAAGAACTCCTGGCCTGGGCCTGTCCCAGCCAAGCCACCCAGGCAGAGGGAGGCCCTCCATCAGGTCCCATACACTGCCTTCTCTGAGCTGGGATTGGGATCCCTAGGAGCCAGAGCCCCCACACCAGGGCTGGCTGAGCCCTCCCAGGGTCTGGAGCCTAGGGCTCAGGCTCCTACTGAGGAATTGGAGCGGGGCAAACTGGGCCTAGATGTGCAGGAGGGCAGGCCTGGAGAGCGAAGAGAAACTCATGGCCAGGCCCTTGGGCCAGATGATCTGTCTGCCCTCTCCCACCAGAGTCTGGAGGAGGAGCTCAGGGCTGAGGAAAGGAAACAGGTGGGCCGAGGAGGGCAAGGCCTCAGTTTAGAGCAGTCGGTAGAGGTCCAGGGCCTGAAAACTGGGCATTCAGAACTCCCCCAGCAAGATTCTCTGCTCGCTTCTGTCCCATATGACACACCACAGGCTCGGGCTGAAGCAGAAGCCCCTGCTCCTGGAAAACCATCACCCCTAAGGGGCTCTCCCTCTAGGGGTGTTCAGTCTGGGGGTGGAGGGCCCCAGGAGCCCACGCAAACCCTCCCCACCATGACTGAGCTGGAAGCCCAACCTGTGCCTCCACCCACAACTTCTCACACAGGAAAACAAGGCCCCCTACAGTCCGGGGAACCAAGGGCAGAGAACGGGCCTGAAGACCCAGGAACAGACTCTGGGGAGGCTGGGGTGACCCCATCCCTAGGAGACCCCATAGTCAGCAAGCCTCCAGCTGACCCCGATCACATCTTCCATGTCATCTTCCTGGGAGACTCAAATGTGGGGAAAACATCCTTTCTGCATCTGCTGCACCAGAACACCTTCGCCACTGGGCTGACAGCTACCGTGGGTAAGGGCCCACCTGGGGAAGGCAGCGGGGAGGGAGGGGAGACCCAGGGGCCCTGGCCAACAAGCTGGAGCAGGCAGGGAGTGAGCCATCTCTGAAGAAGCTGCAGGTTATGTCTTGGCCACAGGCCCTGCATTAGGCAGCATTTTATACAGGCAAACTCTTATTATTTTACTAATCATCTCTAATTACAGGTAATTTGCTTTTTCTGCATTGATCTGATTAGCTTTTAATGTGCCACATCAACAAAGCACCCTGCAATTTAGGTGCCGGTGCTGGTTGATGGCGAAAACAAGCAAGTCTCTACCCACTGGTTGGATTTGTTTCTGACTACCCCCAGGAAAGTCAGCCAGGCCCAGAAGGAAGTTGCCTTGGGCAAGTTGAATATTTTACACAGAATATATTTGTAGAGTGTGGTAAGTTAGAAACCTGGGTGCCTGAGTTCAAATCCCAGCTCTGCCACTTACTAGCCATATGCACTTGGACAAATTATTTAACCCCTCTGAGCCCCCAAATTCTCATCTGCGTAATGGGGACAATGATAGCACTCACTTCCTAGAGTGTTTGTAAGGATTAGTTCCGTTGATACAAATCAAGTTTTTAGAATAATATCTAAAAGTGAAGTGCTAATAAATATTAGTTATTTGTATTATTATAAGTAAATATTTAATAGTGTCTAATTCAGTGGCTCCTGCAATTAAAATGTCCCAAAGCACAAAGCTTCTTCTGTCTAAAAATATTGGGATATATGGCCACTTGATTGTTATATAGAACCACAAAAAAGCAAGCTCGTGAAAATCTGCTTAGGGACAAAGATGGAGGGATCTACGTCTCTGTGTCAGTCAGGGAGCATGCTGACTTGGGGACTAGTACCAGACCAGTGCATAAATAACAGCTCACGCACAAGAGGGGCCCTAGGACAAGTTCTCAAACTTTTCTCTGCCTAAGCATCCTTACCTGGGCAGCCAGTTAAAAATGCAGTGTCCTGGGGAATGAGGAACCCATAGCAGGCCTGGCCTGATGTTGAGCAGGGTTATATGACCTACAAGGCCACCACTATTAATCACCTAAGCTACTGGTTACTGACCACCTACAACACACCAGGCATCTTACATACATATTTTTTTTAAATACATACCACCTTACTTATTTATTTATTTTCCATACTATAAATATATATAATTTTTTTTAACATTTTATTTTTTTACATACATATTTTATTCCTTACAACAGTCTTCCCTATAACTGAGTATCTCCCCCATTCTTATGTAAGTAAGAAGATTCTAGAAAATTCGATCAAGAAAAACACAGACTGCATAACTGTAAAAAGGCAGGGCAAGGCTCCATGCACTGCTAACCAGCTGGGAGTACCTGAGGTGCAGGTGTAGGAGCCAAATCTGACCCCGTCCCAGCTGCGGTTTGGTGCCCCCTGGTGGCTGTCACCCATCTGGCTTAACTATGGTTGGGGAAGATTCTGGCTTCCTCAGTCATGAACATTTCTGCACTCAGTATCACCCTCCACCATTGCCACCCTCCTCTCTCAGAAGATAAGAACTATATAGCCTGCCTGCATTTGAGAACAGGGCTGGATGGAGGACCAGAGCCAGAGCCAATTGAATTATATCTGAATGCATTTTTTTGCCAAGCTTTTCCATATCTATCCCCATTTTTCATATGAGGAAAACAGAGTTGAAGATTTGCTTCTGTTTCTTGCCCTAGATGCCCCCCAAAGTTTATACCCAGGGCCAGCTGCCTTCCAAGCACATACTCCTACACCAGAAGTTTTACCCTCTTTTGAGTTCAGCATTGCCTTCTCCCTGGGGACGATCATGTAAAAGAACAGATTCCTTGGGAAAGAGAAAACATTATATTCCTAACAGTTTATGTGTTACATTGTAACATGCTCTGGGGTATGAGTATGGGGACACAAGAGTGGATTGAGGAGTGGGGTGGGCAGGGAGGTAGAAAAGTGGGAGTAATGGGAGAGTTATTCAATGCAAAGAATAATTGTTAAGAGTCATTCAGATTACACAGTGGGTTTTTAAGAAGAGGTTGGGTGTTATCACGGGGTGGTGGGGAGAGGGTTGGATTAGATAACCTCAGAGGTTCCTGCAGACCCTGAGTTTCCTAAGACTTTTGGGAAAGAGGGCAGTAAAGAGAAGTGGATGTTACAGACAACTTCTGTTTCACCAGATTGCTAAGGTCAGGTGTCCTGGGCTGCCACTTCTCCCAGCTTCCTGTGGAGAGCATAATGGTGGGAGGAGGGAGCCTATGGTTTCAGCTACTACTAGGGGCCAGCAGCAAGTGCTTACAGGGGTCACCATAAGAGACCTTTAGAAAGGTTTCTACCAGCTCAAGGTTAATATGAGGAGATACCCCTTTCTTGAGCTGGCCTGGGCTCTATAGTCTCAGGGCTCCATTAGGAAAGGGGATGGGATGGGGACAAATAAGCCCCTCTCCATCATCCCCCACTCCACCTGGATTCCTTGGGAAGTGGGGGTTGGCAGGAAGCTGGACCCCAAAGATTCCAAACCTCCTTGGGATTTCACTATTACCTCCATATTTCCAGGGACATTAAGGGTCTAGAACCATGACCACAGGGAGGGGTGAGGCTGTGAAATTCAAGGGGGTAGGATTCAGGGAGATGAGAATTAATAATGATGCCACTCCCCCCTCCCCCAGAAACTGGGCTAAACCTGGGATGTAAGTCATTTAATCTTCACAATCACTCTGCAATGTGGCTCTTTGAAAATGGCCACCTTGCAGGTGAGAAAGGGAAGTTCAGAGAGGTGAAGCAACTTGCCTAAGGTCACACAGCTGGCACAGTGGCAGAGGGTGGAAAACTCACAGCTCAATCAGTCATCTCTGAAGCCAGTGCTTCTTCCACCTCTTAGGCTGCCTGTTTACCCACTGTCTAGTTAAAGGGGGAAGATGTGTGCAATAATTAGGAAATGAAACAACGAGTATTATAAAAATAAAATAATGAAACATTTTTCTGAGTAGACTAAGGAATAAATAAACGTGGCTGTGCAGTTGGGAAGACAGATCTGTCCACAGAGGTCAAAACGAAGCAAGATGCCTGGTACTGGCACTGACCGTCAAGGTGTAGGAGCGCAGTGGGGTCAGTGAACCTCATGGGCTGGGCAGCCAGGGCAGGCTTCTTGGAAGACGTGGGCCCTTGAATATGGATGAGACTTGGGGAACAGAGGGGAAGCCCAGTAGCTGAAGGTTCCCATGCCCTGGGGCGCGTGTTGGGGATATATTCAGGTAGTCAATGGCTAGAAGTCTTGGATGATAACTTGAAAGAACGATTAATCCCTCTCTGTGTGTCCTAGGAGTGGATTTTCGTGTCAAAAACCTGCTGGTGGACAACAAGTACTATGCGCTGCAGCTCTGGGACACAGCTGGTCAGGAGAGGTAATAGGCATCTTCTTCATTAGTGACCAGGCTGAGCCTGAGGTGCCGAGGGGTGGAGGGCAGTCCCGACCTCGAGGAGTTCAACACGGGCAAGAGGCCGCCGAGTGCAAAAGAAGCATCTACTCCTGAAGGATTTAGGAGGTTGGGGGAGGAGAGATGAATCCAGATCCAGGGGGATCACTGGGCAGCAGACCCAGAGGCCCCCTCAGCCTGGCAGGGCATCTGTGATGACCATCCCAACATGGCCCTCAGTGACAGCGACCCGATGGCCTGTCCTTCTGAAAACACTGGGCTTCCACTTTCCAGTTTAGGCAGCGGTGATCAAAACTTAAAGGCACCTCTTCTTTGACCCAGTTCCACTTCTAGAAATTCATTCTCCTGATTAACTTGTACCTGACTATAATATTGAAAGGACCAAGAATTTCCACAGCTGCACTTATATTACGAAACACTGGAAACAACCTCAACGTCATCAGTAACGGACCAGTTAAATAAGTCAGGGTCTATCCACGCAATAGAATATAATGAAGCCACTAAAAAGACTGAGGACCCTCTTTAGGTACCAACGGGAAAACACTTCCAAGGCATTTTGTTGACTGGAAAAAACAAAGTATAGATTACCAAATATTAATGAGCACTTGTATTAAACAGCGGACAAAGGGTCAGTGCTTGTATGAGTGTATAGATATGTGTGTGTATATATATATGTGTGTGTATATATATATATATACACATAAATATGTGTGTGTGTATATATATATATATACACACACACACACATTTATGTACATTCATTAAATACCTCTGGAAAAATATTTCAGAAACTGGTAATTCTGGGGAGAGGGACTAGGTGACTGCAGAATCAGGGTGGAGTCCGGGTGGGGGACAGACTTTTCTCTGGGTATCCTTTGGTATCTTTTGAAATTTGAGCCATGAGAACTGTTATCTATCCGACAATAACCACACTGTAAGAAGGAAAGCATATGCACATTCTCTTTGGGAAGCAATTAGAAGCTTCCCAAAGCTTAATTCTCCCACTTTGCCGATGGAGTGGCTGAGGTTTAGAGAGGCCAAGGCCTCGGGTCAGCCCATCAGGCCTGGCCTCAATGAGACTCTCTGGGCAGGTACCACAGCATGACACGGCAGCTGCTCCGCAAGGCTGATGGAGTGGTGCTCATGTATGATGTCACCTCCCAGGAGAGCTTTGCTCATGTGCGCTACTGGCTGGAATGTCTCCAGGTGAGCAGATGGTTGCTGGGGTCGGCCCCAGTTTTTGAAGTCAAGAGGAAACTTGGATCCTACCTATTCCCCCTTTTCTCCCGGGATTACAAATGATACAACAGACATATAGGTGACAACCCACTGAGAGCATATGGCTGGATGGGCTAGGAGTAGTACAAAGAAACCACAACTACATAATACAGCCTCTAAAACAAACTACTTCGTTTATCCTATGAACATTTCTTTACTACATACAGCAGCTTTGTGATGTCTTCTTAACACCTGGAGATAATGCTATTCTAGTACCACTCTAGGTGATAATTTCTCGTTCTTCTCCCCACCCCACCCCCCACATACTTAATTGATACATATATGTTGAAATTCTGCAATATATACTAGCACAGCAGAAGGATCTGAAGTAAGACATGTCATCTTCTTTCTAGAAGTTTCTAGTCTAGTTGAAGAGATGCAAAAGAAGTAGGATAAGGTAATATATAAAGAGAGGCTTCCTGAGGGAGGTACCTTTGAGATTAGCCTTGGAAAGTGGGTGACATGTTTGCAAGCAGATAATAGGGGCAGCCTCACTACAGATGGAGGGGAAAGTGTCGAGGTGGGAAGGGTGTGGAGTGAATGTGACATGGAAAGGTAGGCATGTACAAAGGGAGGAGGCACACTGCCAGCTCCTTGGAAGACAGGGCCAAACCCACCCAGGGCCCGGCACACAGCAGGCACTCAACTTGTGTGGCTGAGGGAATGTATTCTGTGTGCAGGACTCAGGGTCTGACGGAGTGGTCATTCTTCTCCTGGGAAACAAGGTGGACTGTGATGAGGAGCGGCAGGTGTCCACCGAGGCTGGGCAGCAACTAGCCCAGGTGAGTACCTGGGCATTGGCCCCTTCTGCAGCCTGGACTGGGCAGATCCCTCCCTGGAGGGTAGTGAATAGGTCACCCTGGCATGGGCAACCAAAAAGGTCCCATTGCCATTTCTGCCCCTGCCTGGCTAATGGACAGGTCAGAGTGGACAGAAGCCTGGCCACCTCTGCTTCCCACCCACACCAGCCTTAGACCTAAACATGAGACTATAATAGTGGGCATGACATTGAACCTTGCTGTTGAATTAGCAGATCCCCACCCAATATCCTGACCTACATAAAAAATATCTTCAGAGTAGAAAGGTTTTTTAAAGCTTTACTTAAAATTCCCAATCAGATCTTAATTTTATCTCTGGTCTCTAATTAACATAACATTCCTTCTAATTTATTCTATTTTAAGACTCAAATTCTTCCCCAGGAAGATTGCATCAAAAGCCCCGCCACAAGACAGTGGATACTATTTATTTATGAATAGAATTTGACCACATTCCAGAAAATCTGAAGAATCATAAAAAAAAGACCACTCCTTGCCCCACCTCTGACACAACCCCTCTTGGCATTTCCCCACTGTATTCCTTCCCATTGCTCCTCTCATTTCTCATACTCATGAGGTCATCATTGTGGCGCCTGGTTGGCGGAAATTTTTTCCTCTTAAAAATAGTAGCTCATCTCTTTGACATACTAATTCCTCCTCTAGCAATTTATCCTAAGGAAAGAAGCAGAAATAATAACCCTTAAGAGAATAATGTAATGGATACCCATGTATAATGTATAATCAAACGTGTTTATATGAGGATGTTCTTTACAGTAGTATTTATAAGGACAAACATTGGACAGCAGTTGGTGGTTAAATTCTGGAGGTTCATGTGAGAGGCTAGCATTTGCCATTAAGAGTCCCATCCTGGGAAAATATTTCAGGGTGTAAAGGAGGTGCTTAGAATATAATATGAAGTCAGAGAAGGTGAGGGTGACCCCTATGAGACTGCTGGTATTTGACTGTTCGGGGCCGACCCAAAGAGCAATTTCATACGGCTTAACCTAACAATATAATGACGTTTAGCCCATCCCCCACCACCTAATAAAATGTTATATAAAACAGAATGGAAATATATACCCAAATACTAACAGGAGTGGCTTATATTTTGTACTTTTTTATTCTGCGTTTTTCAATATTTCCTCCAATTCAATATTTTCAGAATAAAAAAAAAAAAAACATAACTAACGGTTTAAAAACATCAAAGACATTTCTCCAAATTGGGTCACAAGTTTCCCACTGTCACTCTGAAAGCTGTGGTATGTTTCTGAGGTGTCATCTTTGACACCTTGGCCAGCCAGGGTGGAGGGGCGGTGGGCAGAGGATTGAGGCTGGGGGCCATGAGCCACACTGAGAAGGGGCTGCCTCACCTGTTGGGGTGGCCTAGGGACCTACTGGGTGGGACTCTGTCTGCCAGCCAGGCTTTTGGTGGTGGAAGCTCTTCCTGGACTCTAGTGGTCTCCCCCAAGGCACCTATACCCCTGTCTGTCTGGCCTGCAGGAGCTAGGTGTCTCCTTTGGAGAGTGCAGCGCTGCCCTGGGTCACAACATTCTGGAGCCCATGGTGAACCTGGCCCGGTGAGTGCCACCCCGCCCGCGCCCTCCCAGGCAGAATCCTCTGAGCAGCCTTCAGCTGACTCCTGCAGGAAGGGAAGGCCCAATCTAGGAAGAGTCTATGAAACCACAGGGCTCACAAGTCTGGGGAAGGAGAGAACACTGCGTGCGGAGCCCTGACTCCAGCCAGTCCTACTAGCCTCATTAGCTGCACATCACCTCCCCAAATCCACATTGCCTCTCTGAGCCTCAGTTTTCTCATCTGTAAAGTAGAGTGGGAGAGCAAGAGTCACTCTCCAGCTTCCAATCTTCTAGTGACTGCCACTGGATTTAGCATAAAATCCAAATGCCTCACAGTGGCCTGCATTGTCTCCAGTGCCATCTCCTTTGTCCCAGCATGCGTGTACAAGCACACACACACACACTCACCTACACACGAAGCTTCAGCCATTCAGAGGGGCCATCCTTGACCATTTTCCCTCCCACCACTATTTCAGATCACCATCCTCTGTACCCTTTGAAGCCCTTCCGGACAAATTGTAATTACACATGCATTTGTCCATTTGCTTGTTGCCATCGGCCTCTTCCCACCCTAGGCTATAGCTCCAGGAGGGCAGGACCATGTCTGTTTTATTCAGCCCCTCTCCCCACACTCAGGCCTGACAAATACTAGGTGCTCAATAAATGAATGAAATGAGTAAGGATGGAGGGGTATCAGACAGATGATCTCTAGCTCCTTCCCTGACAAAGCAACTAGAGTGAGCTTGCTAAACTGCAAACCTGCTTAGGCCATGATGCCCGCCAGCAAAAAACTGCTCAATGGCTTCCCTTTGGCTTCTTTCTGGCCATTCGGTCCTTAGGTTCCGTGATTTACCACAGTGCCCCGGCACACAGTAAATATATTGTGAGTGAATAAATGAATAAATGAAGGGGCTTCTTTTACTGCCCCAACTCCCAAGCTCTCTGAGCCTTGTCCTCTGCCTGGAATGCAGCCCCTTCTTCTGCTGAAAGGCCCTTGTCCACTGCTCGGTCTCAGCCCTGACACTGCCTCCTTTCTGGTGTGGAGTCCCTCTGAGTGCTTCCCCATTCCTGAGTCCTGATCGCCAGTCTCCTCTCTGCCTGCATCTCTATTCAAGGCAAGGACACGCTGGCTTCACTGTCATAATCAGTCCCTTGCACAGTGCCTGGCACATAGTAGGCAAGAAAGAATGCCAGAAAAGAGACCAAAGGCCAAAGTCTTCGTGGACCCATTTTTCTGGTGCCACGTGGAATATAGGGCAGGGACAGAGCAGGTGGGAGAGAGGAAGCTTGGAGGTGCCGTCCCCAGCAGCTCAGCTTCATCCACGGGCTCCTCCCTGCTGTCCCTGGGAGGCGAGAGAGAGGACTGATGCCTCGGTGTGATCATGCAGGTCACTCAAGATGCAGGAAGACCGTGTAAAGGACTCGCTGGTGGAGGTGGCCGCCGAGAGATCACCTAAGAAATCTGGCTGCTGCTCCTGACCACCTGGCTTGGCTAAAGTGGGCCAGTCAACCCCCTGGGTTTTCTGTTCCTTAGCACCTGTCCCACCTGCATGGACACAACAATGACAGAGAGGGAGCTGAGAAATTCAGAAGAATCCTCCTGGGGTCTGGATTTGGATCCCAGGGCAGGGGTTGTACTAACACTGCCCTTCGCTCCCCGAAGGAGGACTTTGCTGAATAAATAAACCTTGGAGTGGGGGTGGGGAACTCTTAAAGGAAAAGTCTAGAGAAACAACTTAAGGAAAATACATCATGATATTGGCTACACATCTCCAGATGGTAAAATTATAGGGTGGGGTGGGGGGGGGTGTTATTTTCCTTTTTATACATATTTGTATTTTCAGATCTTCTACAATGACTAGGTATTCCTATATAATCAGAAATAAAAATAAATGTTGAGGGGAGGGAAAGAAACTTTTCAAGGAGCTTGCTTTGATGCTGATTTCTAATTGCTATCGCTTGTTAATTACAAAGTACTCTTTTCATTAAATCAGTCCCATTGTTCTGTGCCTGTGAACCTTGTCTCACTCACTGTAGCTGTGTGCAACCATGGTGGGTTTCTTCTGAGCAGAATCCCATTCCTGGGGAGGAGCAATGTTCTGATGGTACCTCTTAGGCCCCAGTCCCCATCTCCCTAAGACCCAGCTCCACTCCCTTTCCCCAGGATCTGCTTCTAAGGCATCACATTCAGGGATCCTACCCCCATGCCACAGTGTTCCTTGGTGCAGCCCTCTGCCCTGAGGTGTCAATCTCTGGATGCCCTCGAGGTGTAGCTGGGGTGTGACAGGTGGGGACGTGGAGAGCAGTCAGGTAAATTGATTCCAATCACTCATGGGCTTGGCTTCTCTTTGGAGCTTTTGTGGGAGTTCCCAGAATCACTCAACATTCACCACCTGAAAGGTAGCTGCACATTATAAGTGGGGGAAGGGCCAGGGTTTTCAGTGCCCTTAGGGAGCTTGCTTTGAGAGACTTAGAGAGATAGACTCTCGGCATTGGACTATCTCCTGTGATCTGTGTTTGCTGAAAATGTTTTCTGTCTCATCTGACCGGTAGCCACAATAACGCTTACCATGTAATGCGGTCAGGTAGGATGCTGAGCTTGGTACTTTGCAATCATTGGGGTGAATTCTTCAGCTGAATCAGAGGAAACCTCAATTTCATAGAGACAAGCAAAGACATTTCAAGAAACAGAGGTACAGAGAGAAAGAATAAAGGAAGAAAAGGGAGGCAGGAGATATAGGACAGAGGCTTCCTACTTGTTTAATTGAAGTCTTCGCTCTTGGCCTCTATTCCTCTCTTCAGTTTTAAAAGGAATGCCTCAGCAGCAGTGAGCACTCTGTCACTAGAGGTATATAAGCGGAAGCCAAGTGACACTTGGCAAGACGTGAGGTATAGAAGAGTCACGCAGGGCTCAGGGACCTCTTCGGCAGGTCAATGACAGCCAGGTATCCCAGGGGTTGTGGGAGGGGCTGGCACAGTGATGGAGAGTGTCTAACCTCGCCATGACAAGGCCCCAGGAGGTCTATGGGGTCTGGTGGGAGTCTGAGAGGATAAGCTGATGGGAGGGCTGAGATTCAAGAGAGATGGGAAGACCGTAGTGATATTAGAACCCATCCCTCCATTTTACTGGTGGGGAGACTAAGATCCAGAGAGGACAGGTAGCCTGGTAAAGGTGACACAGAAACTTAATGGCAACTGAGTCGATGCTCTCATTCCATCTTGGGGCTCAGACACCTGTAGGCTCTACTACTTTTTAGTTGTATGACCTTGAACAAGTCCCTTAACCTCTCAATACCTCAGCTTTCTCATTCGGAAAATGAGATTAGTGCCTTCTTCACAGGGTTGTTACAAAGATAAACGTACTTAACACATATAAAGTGTTTAGAAGAATGCTTCGTGCTTAATAAGTATGTATGAGTGTTCATCATTATTACTATTGTTATCAATTTATTTGTATTAATTCAAGGGCATTTGAGGTGAGTGGACAAGAGGATTGGAAAGGGACTTCCAAAGGCAGTGAAGTGTGTAGAGGAATGATCTGGGGGCTGACAGCCTGGAGTGCTTGATCCTGTAGGCCCAGGGACTGAATGGGGTGAGGAGAGGGGCCAGTCACAACTTGGGTGGGGGCTCATAGTCCAGGAGAGACTTTCGGCCTCTTCTACCTTCTCTGCCTGCCCTCCCCCAGCTCAGTCTCTCTCTCTCTGTCTCACACACACACACCCCTCTCAACTCAATAAGGGAAAGCAAAGTCAACCATGGAACCATCTCTCTCTGTCTCACACACACACACACACACACACGCCTCTCAACCCAATAAGGGAAAGCAAAGTCAACCATGGAGCCGTGAGTCTGGGCCTGTGAATCTCTGAATGCCTTCCTTTCTTCTCTTTTTCCGGTGGTTTCTTTTTCCGGTGTGGCTGGGTAGGGGCTCTTTTTGAGGCTCTTTCCTTCTCTTCAGAGCCAACTGGAGGTCTCCATCCATCTTACCCCATCTCCATGCCCTCCTTCTGGCCTCCTGAGAGCAGGCCTCAGGCTTGTGTGTTGGCCTGGGAACCAGGGAGATTGTCTCTACTGAAATTCCTAAGACAACATGGTCTACTTGGTAATAGTGTTACAGCTAAACACACATACATACCAATTCCATGGTCAAAAGCTTGGAAAACGCTGGTTTGAACTAAGTCAAACTGGTCTCTTTGCTGCAGGACTTATCAGAACCTTGAATACCTAAAGACTACTGGGACTTCCTGAGAGGGGCTCAGTGCAGGCAGTTCCCCAAAATCCATGCCAGGGAACCAGTGTCCCGTAGAACATGCCTTGAGAAAGAACCCAGGAGAGGAGTTACAGTGTTGAGCACAGTAAAGATGCTCTAGGTGCCCTGGGGCAGCGGCTCTGAGCTTCGATTCCCTTGCCAGGAGAGCATCTTTCCTGAAGCTTTCCCACGGGTGCCCATGGAGAGGTACAAGGAGCTGGTTATGGGAACTGCCCTCTTCCCAAGCTGTGACCCCACCCGGTTCCCACTCAAAGCGTATCGGAATGCAAGTCAGGGGGCAGCTAATTATAGGGACAGCTGTGAATCAGCTCTAATTTACTCTAAGATCCTAAGTGGTAAACAAGTCCCAAACTTTGGTGGAATTAGTACCAAATTTCTGGTGATGTGCAGATCAGGAATGGCTGCCTGGAGGTCTAATCTGAGCGAACTTGCCTGGAGAAGGGAGAAGTCACCTTTCCCTATGATCCTGGTCCCCGATGGCCACAGGAATTTATATGTGAAGAGGGACAAGGAGGAAAATGATGTTTATTCTGCACCTAAAGTGCAGCAGGTCCTGTGCCCGGCACACATGTCACATGTGCATATCTACATGTCACTCTGTTTGGCCACATGATAATCTTCTAAGGGAGGAGTAGTAATGGTCCCATCGAAAAGAGCAGTAATTCACCATGGGCACACAGTTTGTGAGTCACCCTTTGGTGCCCACAGACCTTGGCCCCTCCCACTGGATTAGCATTGGGACCCCAAGGTTGTAGGATTTCCTTGCTCGCTGCTCCGGAGCAGTGGGTAGCCCCTGAGGGTGCAACTATGTCAATGTCTCCAAAGCTGAGCAGGTCCTGGCACTAATGCTCAGTAAATATTTGTTGAGAGATGAGTGAATGAGTGATCAAGTGCAATAAAGTGACCCACTTGTTTCAGAGAATAATCTCATGATGTTACCTCTTTCACCTCAATGGCTGCCTGTTTCACGCAGTCATGCTGGAGGCCTCACCATGGCCTACGAGGCCCTATGCATTCTAGATTTTCAGCTTTCTGACCTAATCTCCTATACTACCGCCCCCGTTAATGTAGCCCCAACCACACCAGCCTCCTTGCTGTCCTTTGCACACTAAGCAGGCTTCTACCTCAAGGCCTTTGTACTTGCTGGAGCCCTCTTGCCTCAGATATCAGCATGCTTCCCTCTCTCATTTCCTTAGAGCTCATCTCAACTGCTGCATCCTCGGTGAGGCCATCCCTGACCACCTCATCTAAAATATCACCCTCTTTGTAACCCATCGCCATCTAAAATTATGTTATTTACTTGTTTATGTGCTTACACCTGTCTTATTTGTGTTCGTCGTAAGCTCCATGTGGAGACAGGGCCTGTATTTGGTTCATTGCTGCACCCCAGTGCCTAGCACCGACCCTGGGACACAGTAGTTGCTCAGTAAATCCTTGTTTAACATAAGGTTAAAAGAGAGAGAGGAGAACCTGGCCCCTGTCAAACAGCAACCTCTGTGCTATTTCTCCCAGAAGAAAGGAAAACAAGGAACTTTAGTAAAAGAACCAAGTTTACTTCAGATTAAGGCGAATTCCACACAGAGACTGTCTCAGACACGGGCACAGGACCAGACAGCGTAGAAACACCACCATCATGCACGACGGGAAGGGAGTGGTGTTGGGCAGCAGACAGGGCAGGGCCTGGTCTCCTCCCAGCAACGGGAGGTTCAGTGGGCTGAGGAGCCCCATGCAGCAGAAGGGACTGGCATGCATGGCCTATTCCCAGGTAAAGGCTGGGCGGCTGGGTGGGTCAGGGGTGAGATCACTTTTCTCGCCTTTCCCACAGCAGCAGCAGGGGTTCGGGTTCAGACTCCAGAGCTCAAAGCTGAAGGACTAGGGTGGATTTGGGGTGACGCGATGGAACAGGGTGACCCGAGAGCCAAGACGGCCTGGGGTGAGAGGTTGCACTGGTGAGGAAAGGGATGAGGGAAGCTGGGCATGGGATGAATGGACTCTCAGGATGTAAGAACTGAAGGTAACTCCTAGACTATCTGGTCAACCTTCTTGCCTTACAGATGTGGAAACCAAGATCCAGAAGGCAGGAAGGGCCTTGCTTCTGTTCCCACAGCATGCAGGGGCTATAGGCAGGGCTTGAACCCAGGACTCCCATCTCCTATCACTGTGGGATAAAAGGGCCGTGTGGGAGTGCGGGGCTGGGCTGTTCCTCACCCAGGCCTCCAGGTGGGTAGCAGAGGAGTGGTTGCCAACGACCCCGGGCAGCCTCTGGGGGAAGGAGGAGGGGCCTGTGGGCCCACACTAGGGAGAGGCCTGTGGATCTATGTCTAGAACCAGTGTCACCTGGGCTTGAGAGGCACCTGAAAGGACTCTGTGCCTTAAAAACCTCTATTCCTGGCCCATCACGTGACCTACAGTCTACCATCACCACCTCCCCTTTATATATCTGCAGGGTTCCCGTTGCAAGCAACTGACTCTGGGGGTGGTCACGTGTTCAGGTATTTGTGCCAACCCATCAGCTCATGGGGTTCACTAGGAAGAAAGAAAGGATAGATACTGGGGTGAGGGTCAGGGGCCAGGTAGAGGAATGGATGGCACAGGAGGGGAGGGAGAAGGGGGACGGGAGGAGGGCAGAGCAGCCCAGGCTTCAGGGCCACACAGGAGCAGGTGGGACTGCCCAGGTAGGCTGAGAGGGACTCCAATCGTCCTGTTGGTTTTAACACCTTCCTGGTTGGGCTAGAACCAGGTGTCATGGGAAGAAGGGAAGAGCAGGGGCCCAGAACCCCATCTCTACCATCTGTAGCCCCCAACTCCCATGGTTTGGGTCATAAGTGAGACCAAGAAGTTGGGAAGGACTCTCCAGAGGCCCTGCCCCTTGCCAGCCGCCCAGGCACACGGGTTCCAAAGGCCAAGCAGGGCAGACTGTAGCGGTGTCTAGGACCCTGCCTACCCTTCTACTGGCCTCCCCGGGCTCCAGCCGCCTGCCATGCATGGGCCAGGCTTAGATGTGTGTGTGCAGAGGGGAGGCAGGGGGCGTGTGGGCTGGGGACTGCGGGGGTGAGCTCGCTGGGGCCTCAGGTGGGGGGCGTGGGCGGATGCCCTGTGCCTTCATGTAGGACACCAGCTGGTCGGGGATCTCAGCCAGCACGTCACGGGCCAGTCGCGCCATGCTCAGCACGTGGTTGCCCGTGCGGTCCACGTAGTCTCTGAAGGGTACAAACTGGCCAGTGGGGAAGGCAGAGTCAGGCAAGGGCCCCTGCTGGACCCCAGCCCCTCGAACCTCCTGTCCCACTCCTCCCCAACCTCTGCCCACTTCACTCAACCCCTCCTCCTCATGGTGAATTATCTGAAAAACTGACATCATAGTCACTATTCTTTCATTCACTCAGACACTTATTGAGGTCCTATTCCATGCCAGGACATACCACTGACCAAGATTCCTCAATCTCGGAGGTCTTGGCACCAAGCACAAGTACTCAGCAGACACTCAGGAAATGTGGAATGAATCCTCTGGCCTCTGGAAATCAAGCCCTCTGGTCGCCTCCCACCTCTCGGGGCCCTCTCTGCCCTTTGGCCCTGCTTCTCCTCTTTCCTCACTGGGCCAACACCTCAAGTCAGGCCCGTCTGGCTTCTTCCTAGGGGGTATCCCTCCCCCCACCCCTTAGGGCCTCAGGCTCACCTCACCTCCAGGCCTTTACATAAGGTCCCACCTCCCAAATTGCCTTTGCTCTGGTTTCTAAGCTCCCTATCTGGTCTCTACACCTGGAATGACCCCTCTCCTACCCCAATTTTGTTTTAATCCAGGGGGTACGGAAATTTTTTCCAAAAACAGAATTTTTATTCCTCATCGCCAAAGCACTAAAGACTCAGTCTGCAGGAGGTACCAGGAGGGTGTGTTCTTGCTGAGCTACATCTGAGGCTTGACTGAACAGGGATGCCCTGAGGACCAAAACCTGTCTGCTCACATCGCATCCTACTTGCAGAGCTTAAGTCATTGATTCAATTAACCAAGCAAAGTTCTTGGAGAGAGCTGCCGCAACTCTACAGACACTTCTACCTTCAAGGGGTTTGCCATCTCACTGGGAAGGTAGCCCAGCAGAGAACAACAGAAAATGAAAATAATTAGGTGGCTATGCTTTGCAGGAGACCATGGAGGCCTGGCAGCTTAGGGAGGGCTGGGCTGGGCAAAACAATGGTAGGGATGAGTCTCAGACATGGCGGGGAGGGGCCCAGTCCAGAGAGATCTAAGACCCAAGGACTGACTCCTCTTCCCTTCTATGGTGGCCCAGGCCACTCTGGGGCTCCCAGTACCTCCCTCTGGGACCCTTTCCAGAGAAACCTGGGGCAGGGGATGTGATGTCAGCCTGGCCAGAGGGACAGGCAGGGTCTGGGTTTCACCTGGACAATGTCCCGCTCAGCCAGCTTCCCCCGGGAGGAGATCCGCACGTCATCACCGTCCAGCTCCACCATGGCTGTGTGGGGAGGAGAGGCATGGGGCTGGGGGATTAATGGTGCGTACCTGGGCCTGGCAAGACAGTGTACTTTCCTCCAACCCTAGGCCCATCCAGGGCAGAGACCATCAGATCAGACCCCCATGTTAGAGACGAGGAAACAAGCCAAGAGACAAGAGGAGCCCACCCATGTGAGTCTCTGACTTCCAGCCCAGTGTACCAGCTCCCCAACCCTCCCCAGGCTCCCAGGGCTGGAGGAGGGAGGAGTGACTCCGGCCTCCTCTCCTTGGGACATGGGTGTGGGGTGCACACCCTAACATACACACCCCTATGCAAACAAACACACTGTCACGCCCTGCCAGCTCACCAAAACAGTCACACACGCCTAGGCGTGAGTACGCACTCTTTGGGGCAGGGTCATTCCCAAGGGCCTGAAGTCTTTTGGGAAGCAGAGGGGATGAGGACTCACCATCAAACTCTGCCTGGCCCACGCCAACGATGATGATGGACATGGGGAGTTTGGCAGCCTGTGAGACAGCAGGGGATGGAGTGGGGGTTGTTGGTACCCAGCCAAGAGGCCAATTAAGGAAGAGGA